AGTGCAGTGGTGCAATCTCAGCTCACTGCTACCTCCACCTCAGGTTCAAGTGATTCTCCTGCCTCAGCCTCCCAAGTAGCTGGGACTACAGGCACATGTCACCATGCCCAGCTAATTTTTGTATTTTTAGTAGAGATGGAGCTTCACCATGTTGGCCAGGATGGTCTCGATCTCTTGACCTCGTGATCCACCCGCCTTGGTCTCCCAAAGTGCTGGGATTATAGGTGTGAGCCACTGTGCCCAGAAAATTGGCTTAATATTTTACAGAGTTCAGATAATTTACCTAAACCCACATGATAGTAAGCCATGGAGCCAGTATTCAAACTTGGGCAGGGCAGGGTAACTTCCAGAGTGCCAGTGGCAGCAGCCGGCGTAACAGGCAGAAGCCCAATGCAACCGAAGGGACAGCAGTAACGGTGATGGTGGCCATGGTAATGGCGGCCGTGGTAATGGTGGCAGGAGCTGTAATGGAAATAGTGGCAGCCATGGTCGTAGCTTCTCTAGCATTGGTGTTTGTGATAGTAAGGGCCGTGGGAGCAGTAATAATGTAATAAAGTAACAGTACTAGCACTGGGATGATGATGGCAGTACTGACAGCAGCAGGAACAGCTGGAATGCTCACTGCCGTTCTTTGAACACCTACTGTGTTCCAGGCACTGGACGGAGGTGTTCCTATTCATTAATCTTCACCAAAAGCTGAGGGGCAGGAGTTCTGCCACTGTACAGGAATGATGAAGGCTCAAAGGGGTTAAATGGCCCCCAGGGTCCCCTGGCTGGGAAGTGGTAGAGTCAGGTCTCTCCAACCCTAAACCTGGAGTTCTCTCTCCTCTGTGGCCCTTGAGTCCATGTCTTATCTGTGGTTTTCTCTGGGAGCTCAGTCTGCGTTTGATGTTTCCCAAGGTGGGGTGCAGTCCTTCCTGGGGTGACCCCTTAGAAAGTACTTTCTTATATTAAAGACCTGTTACTCTCATGACACTCACTCTTTGATCAAAACACATCCACTCCCTTTGCCCCATAACAGCTTACAGAGATTGAAGGCAGAGATCATATCCCAGCCCATGCATCCCTTCCAAACCATCTTTCACAGGACAAGGGTTCCTGGCCCCTTTCCATCCTGCTTGCCCTTCACCAGACACTATACCTAGGATAGAACTAATTCTGGAAATGGGAAAATGATGGAATAGTCACCTTCCTCCCTCTGACACTTGACCTCTGTTAATACAGCCTGAAATTACACATACTTCTCACTCTGGTGATGTCCTGAGCTGACCTCGGACTATAAACCCTAAGTCACTCCCATGTATGCTTCTCTCCTGACCGGTGAGGCCCTCTGGCTTGTCATCAGCAGGAAGTAGAGGGTTTCCCCACCAGTTTCTCGTCCTTTTTGAGCATCAGACCTGAGGGATGCAGTTACCAGGTGGTATTCATTGTTCTCCTGCAGCAGTTACCAAGGCATTTACTGTTCCCCTCCTGCAGGGCTTTAGTTCAGTGTAAATCAGTTAAGGATTAATTGTTACCTACACAGGATTATTTCAGGATAGGGTGTCAATAATCATCAGAGAAAGGGCTCTGGGGTCAAAGCAGTTTGAAAAACATTGAGTGTAACAGGCTCCCTCCCTGCTGGACTGCCCTGAGCCTTTGTGAACCTTTGTAATGGGCTTTGCGAAGCTCCCAAAAATAGGATGTAGTTTTCAGTGTTTCCCAAACTTGTTTCTTCATATTAATGTTTACTTACAGGTGCGACACACAAATACGTTCTTTTGAAAATAAAAACACAGGCCAGGTGCAGTGGCTCACACGTATACTCCCAGCATTTTGGGAGGCTGAGGCGGGAGGACTGCTTGAACCCAGGAGTTCGAGACTGCGTAAGCTATGATCACACCACTGCACTCCAGCCTGGCAACACAGGGAGACCCTGTCTCTTTAAAAAAAAAAAAACT